TGATGACCTGGATCAGTAGTTATTTCCTAGTCCTCAGCTTTCTTCTCAGTGGTATTTTAGTGCCTCTTTCTTTCTTTCTTTCTTTCTATACTGGGGATTAAACTCAGGGGCTATCACTGGACTGCATCATCACCAGCCCTTTTTTATTTTTTTATTTTGAGAGTCTCACTAATTTGTTCCAGCTAGCCTTGAACTTGCCACCTTATTGTTTTAGGCTCCTGAGTAACTGGAATTTCAGGCATGTGTTACCGGGCCTGGCAGTTTAGTGCTGTGCTAGTTCATTATCATTCGTACTTCCATTGGTGCCTGTGTTTCCACTTTGATGATTTTACTACTACCTCTTTGACCATAGCTTCTTAGCCTCCTTAGAAGGCTCACCATTGTTCTAGCATTTAAACCTAAAATTTTCTGTAGATTCTATTCTTTCTCAGTCTAATTTTTTTTAGGATAGTTTCATCCCCACTCTGACCTTTAGTTACTGATGACCCTCAGATCTTCAGGCTACTTGGCATCTCTACTTAAGTGTCTCAGAAACATCCCAAATTCAACATGTTTCCTTATAAACTTTCCTTCAATGCCTGGTACTCATCTAGTTTTAGAAGCTAGAAACTTAAGCACATCCTTCTTTCTTATCCCATCACTCAACTGCCAACTCCTTTCAGTTTACATTTGTAAAAATCCCTTGATTCTGCCTGTTTCTCTCCATCTTCACCATAATCTCCCACTGGGATTGTGGCTGTTGTTGCTTGTCCCCATGCCTGCTTTTGTGCTTCTTCAACCTATTCTGTGCTCATCAACCAGAGCACAAAATGATGCTTAAAACCATTATTAAAATAAAAACTGGGATTCTAGTTATGACACAGAAGTCCTTGCATGATCCAGCCCCTGCTTGCCACCAAGTTTATCAGTGACTATCAAATATTGGATTATCAATCCTACTTGTTGAATTGACTTGAATCACATTTTACTTTCTCCCTGTTTATTCTAGTCATGCTGGCCTTCAGTTCATCTAGCCTGTCCTGTATTATAGCATCTCAGAGGCTTTGTACTTATTGTTTCCTGGTTTGCAATATTTTTTCCCCTTGATCTACTTAAGTACTACTCATTCTTGAGAACTTGGTTCAAATCCTCTTTATTGAATGAACTCTTCCCAGACTTCAGCTTCCATAATTCTTATGCTTTGGGTGTGTAGCACTTTTAGCAGTTTATATCCTTCATGTGGACGGAATCCATGTCTATATTAGTCACGTTATATCTTCATCAGAGAGCCTGGCACATAATTTGTGTTCAATAAATTCATGTTGAATGAACATTTCTCAGTCTTCTTCTAGCTCATTTACTATTAACAAAATCAAGAAAAAGACTTTATCAGAAGAGACAGAAGTGGACCTGCAAATTTAACTTAACAGATGTTTTTCATGAAAAAAACTCTTTGAATGGTATCTTTTATTCTTGCACAGTCAAGCCAACACCTGCACAGCTCCATCTAAAGAGATTCACTTGTTCTAGTTTCTACTTGATTTCTATATCCTAGAATTCTGCTTAATTGTTTCTTGAACACTTTTCTTTCTTTCCAACCCAATTATCATGCCTTAAACATTCATCAGCTCTTATTACAGATTATAGCAGTAGTCTCCTAATAACTTTTTGCTTTGAGTCTGGATACCTTTTGACTAGTTAGGATTTATCTCAGTTAAATGTAACAAAGACTCAAATAACAGTGACTGACAAAACTTTCTCTTTCAAATGAAAATGTTGTCCAAAGCTGAAATGATGACTTTGCAATCACCTGAGAATAAGGCTACTTAACAGCTTTCTAATGGTTGTGTGTGAGGTATGACCCTTATCCTTGGGACCCAAGATGGAACTTTATCACATAAGCATTCCAAGGAACAGAATGGGGTAGGGAATGGTGGTAAAGAGGCATGTCCCCCTCCTTTTAAAGACATACACTTGGAAGTAGTACATCATAAATTTGTCATGTAGTCATCTCTTGTTTATATGGGAGGCTGGGAAATGTAATCTTTATTCTTATCAGTCATTTGCCCAGCTAAAAACTGGGGATTTTGTTTCTAATGAAGAAGATGATTGCTATCAGTAGATACCTACCAATTAATTTTCAACACTAGCAAACAGTGATTATTTAAAATGTAAGTTATCATCATACTGATCTACTTGATGACTTTTGTGACATTCATACTCCTTAGCATCACAACTGAGGCTTTCTCTGATCTGTTTGTAGGTGATGTCTCTGGCCTCATCTTCAACCCTTTTTCCTCAGTTTTTGATTCTCTTATCCTTGGTTATAAAAGGATCACTTCATTTGGTGCTTATACATCATACTACTTCATGATTCTCTTTTTCTGGATGTGTCTCATATCCATATATTCAAATATTTCACGTATTGAATGACTGCATTTACTAGGTTAAACCCTGCAGATAAGTGAATGACATAAATGACGTGGTTGTTCTCTTGAAACTTAGCATAGTAGTCATAACCATGATAAATGTTAAGAAGAAATGTATATTGTAATGGAAACATGATATTACAAACTTGTGTTGTTTGTGGGATGAGGGAGAGCTTTTCTCAGGAGGCAATTTTGAAGCTGAGATCCAAAGGATAAATTAATCAGATAAAAGGGGAAAGGCTGTCCTTTTTTCATTTCTTTGTTCAGATGTCACCTTTTTGTTAAAGTTTGCTCTGATGTTTCTATTTAAAATTGAAATCCACACTCCCCTCAGACATTCCTGACCTCCTTAAACTGGTCTGTATTTTTTTCTATTGCATTTATCACTTCTCACAGACTATATAGTTACTCATTTTGTTTGTTGTTTATTACCTGCCTTCCATACTAGAACATAAACTCTATAAGTTAGGAATATTTGTCATTATTATTTTTTACACTGATATCACCAAACACCTAATAGTGCCTGACCTAATTGATGCTTAGTAAATATATGTTGAGTGAATAGAGGCATAGGCATATAATTTGGTTTTACATAGAAGTACCTCTAGTTCGTGACAGGAAGGAGGAAGGAATAATTAAGAGCAAATTTAAGTAGTTTTTTGATTTGGTATTGAAAGATTGAGAGTTCCTTTTAAATAGCTTGTTTGATGGCTAGTTTTATGTGGAAACTTGGCTAGGCTATAGTTATTTGGCATTAATCTAGGTGTTGCTTTGCAATTATTTATAGATGTGGCTAACATCTACAGTTTCTACAATTAATTGATTTAAATAAAGATTACCCTTGATGTGGTTTGGCCTTATCCATTCTCATTGAGGCCTTAAGAGCAAAACTCAAGTTTTCTAGAAAAGAAGTTTTGCCTAAAAACTGCAGAATTATCTTCTGAGTGTCCAGGATGCTGACCTTCCCAACCAAATTTGAGTTCACTAGCCCCCATAGTCATGTGAGCCAGTTCCTTAAATAAATCTCTGTATATATACAAATACCTTATTTCTCTGTAGAACCCTGACTGATACAGCATCATTTTTATTATAAGAGGTAAAGTTATCATCTGAGAATACAGCAGAAGAAAATGGAAAATGAGAGAATAGAGATTTGAAATAGTCTGCACAGAATAGAAAAATGAATTGACAAAAGAAAAAAGAAACAATTAGAAATTTAGGTAGTCTTGGGTTCAGCAAAGGTTACTAAGAGTTCCCTTCTGTCCTTGTCTGTCTGGAAAGCATCTATTGTTTAAGGCCTTAAGTTTTATGGCTTATTGTGATTTGGTTCTTCCTTGCCCTTCCTAAGGAGGCTTATCTGTGCTCTCATTCATCCCCTAATTGAACCCTCCTATTTTGTCTTGTTTAGCATTTTGTCAAAATGAACAACAACCAAACATATCAAAAATATCAATGTCTATCAACCAAGGCCTATTCTAAGCATTTTATATACATTAAAACATATAATTCTTACAGTGAAACTTTAAGATAGACACTACTATTATCTTCATTTCCAAGACATAAAACTGCATGAGAATTTTTCAGTTTTCTATAATAATTTTTAAAAATTATTAGCACATATTAAATAAATTAATGTGTTTCCTTGTGACATTTCACACATACATTTGCTTTAATTATAACCACCCTCCCTACTACCATCCTTCTCCTCCTACTTCAGTCCTCTTTCCTTTCCCTAAAAATACCTCTTTCACTTTCATGTGTTTTTGTTTGTAAGAGTCCGTGTATGAGAAAAACTGTGATACTTGTCTGAGATTGACTTATTTTGCTTAATATGATCATCTCTAGTTCTGTTATGGTTTAGATCTAGAAATGTCCCCTGAAAAGCTCATGTTTTGAAAGCATGATCCTTAATGCAGGAATGTTCAGAGGTGAAATGATTAGATTATGAGAGCTCTAACCTCATCTGTGAATTAACCCATTAATAATCTTAATGAACTACTCGGTGATTACTGTAGGCAGGTATAGCATAACTAGAGGAAATAGGTCACTGGGGGTGTGTCCTGGGTTACATCTTGTCCTCTGGCTTCTCATTTGCTTTGCTTCCTGGCTGCCATGAGCTGAGAAACTTCTCCATCACACCTACTTCCATGCTGTTCTGCCTTATCTTGGGCCCAGAGCAATGGACTTGGCCAGCTGAATCTCTGAAACCATAAGACCAAAATAAACTTTTCCTCCTCTAAGTTGTTTTTTTTAAAGTAATTTTTTAGTTGTAGATGGACACAATACCTTTATTTATTCTTATGTGGTGCTGAGGATCGAACCCAGTGCCTCACATATGCTAGGGAAGTGCTCTACCACTGAGCTATAGCCCCTAGCCCTCTATGTTGTTTTTGTCGGGTACTTTGGTCAATGTGATGAAAAGCTTACTAACACAAGTTCCATCTTTTTCCCTGCATGTGACATGATTTTGTTCCTCTTTATGACTGAATAATATTCCATTGTGTATATACACATTTTCATATCCATTCACCCACTGACAGTTATCTAGGCAGATTCTATAAGTTGGCTATTGTGAATAGTGCAGTGATAAACATGGGTGTACAGGCATCTCTTTTGAATGCTGAATCCAATTCCTTCAGGTATATACCAACAAATAGTATAACTGGATTTATGGTAGCTCTATTTTTAGTCTTTTAGGAACCTTCATATGATTTTCCATAGTAGATCTGCTAATTTACATTCTCACCAATAGAGTTGCTTTTCCTCCCACATTCCTGCCAGCATACATGTGTTTATGTATTTGTTTTTTGTTTCTTAATGATAGTTATTCTAACTGGGGTGAAATAGAACTGCAGTGTAGTTTTGATTTGCATTTTCCTGATGGTTAAAGATGTGGGATATTTTTTCATATATTTATTGGTTATCTGTATGAAAATAGGATTTTAATTCAGGCAATCTGACCCCATAGTCTATCTTAATCACTAATGAAGATTGTTATGCATTTATGCATTTTTCCATAAATATTTTTATTGCCTACTTATGGTGCCTAGCACTAGATATTGGGGAGAGAACAAGGAGCAATCAATCGCTGCCACTATAGAGCTTATGCTTCTAGTCAGAGCAAATAGACAGAAGGCAAATAAGTATTTATATGTGATGATAATAGGTGCTCTGGGGAAAAACAATTCAGGATAAGGAGATAAGGATATAGAGAAAAGTGTTTCCACTGGGTTGTAAGTGAAGAACTCATTAATATGGTAGTATTTAAGCAGAGACTTGAGGAAGTAAGCCCTGAGAACATGTAGAAGGAAGAGTATTCATGCTTTTACTGTTCTACTAGTGGCATAAAAGCTAATGGTTATTTCCCAGTATCCACTTCCCCCTTCTTTCTTTACTAATAGAAGCACCAAATTTTACTTGGGCATATACCACTGAAAACAAAGATTAGATTTGGTAGCTTTACTTGCAGCTAAGTATGGCCATGTGATTGAGTGATGGGTGCAATTGCCTGGCTAAGCCCTTTTAGAAAAGAATATGCCTTTTTTCTCTTTCCCTTCATCTCACTGGTTGGGATGGGCCCCAGCAGACATAGTGGTATATTCTCTTGGACCTTGAAGACAAGGACTATTTTCTTGGAGAAGGCAGAACAAATAATAGCCCTGGAGTACTTACCCTTGAACAGTTACATGATAGGAAAAAAGTAAGCATCATATTTAAGCTGATGTATTTTGGATCTTTTTATTATAGCATATGTATAGAATTTTAAGATGGTCCCTCAAATTTCTTGCCTCCAGTGTACACACCCTGCATGTTCCCTGGAACTGTGAATATGACAGATTTTACTCCTGTGATTAGGTTACATTTTATGGTATAGTTGACTATAAGAAGGGAGATTTTCTGAGTGTGCTGACCTAAGCATACCAGCCCTTTAATAGCAGGTTCCTTGACTGACTGTAGAAAAGGATATCAGAAAAATGTGAAACATCAAAAGGTTTTGAGGCTCCGTTGCTGTCTTGAAGATGGAGGGACTGTGTAGTAGGAAGGAAGGTGGCCTCTGGGACCTGAGAGCTTCCCCTGGCTAATAGCCAATAAAGACACAGGGACTTTAGTCTTAGAACTGTAAAAAAATGAGTCCAAATTAAGAAGAATGAGCTTGGAAGTGGATTCTTTCCTCAGATCATCCATGTGAAAACTCAGCCCAGTCAGTATCTTGATTTCAGATTTATGATAAATCAGAGAACCCAGTCAAGTCATGCTAGAGATCTGTGAGATACTACATGGGTCTTGTTTTTGTTTTTATGTTTTGTCTTGTTTGTGGTACTGGAGATTGAGCCTAGGAAAACTCTACCACTGAGCTACATCCCTAGTCCTTTTTATTATTTTTTAAAACTTTGAGACAGGGTCTCCCTAAATTCCTGAGGCTGGCTTTGAATTTGAATTCTTGAGCCCAGGCTCTAAATTGCTGAGATTACAGGCCCGCACCACCACACCCAGCGATATTTTATTAAGCTGCTTGTTTTGTGATAATTTGATACATAGCCACAGAAAACTTGTATATTAGTGAAGGTTCTCCAGAGAAAAAGAACCACAGGCTGAGAAGTCCTACAATGTATTGTCCACTAGCCAGAGAACCAGGAATTTTTTTTTAATCATTTAGTTGAATTTTTAAAATCAGCCACTGCTATATTCCCAGCCCCCAACTAAATTTGGAGCACTTTAAGATCAAAGGTTTTGCTTAGTAGTGTTTCTCTTTGGGAGGTGGGATAGAGCAGATGTTATGTAGTTGAGGGGATGAAGGGAGGAAGTCCCAAGGCATACCTTACTGGGACCTGACACTAATTTAGATGTTCAATAAAACGGCCACATGGATTACACCTGCGCTCCACACACTCAGGAATTTTAGTCCCCCGATCAATCGAGTCACTCTATTTCAAAGCCAAGCAGGTCCTCAGGCAAGCAGCCACGGGCAGGTTTGGCCCAGGTGCTGCCCTGGTTCAGCCCCTGGGCTCAGTCCACCTTCTCCCAGGTTCTTCCTTCTGGCTCTGGCCTCTCGCGGTCCTCTAACGGTTCTAACAGCTGCGAGCGGAAGGAGCTGCGGGTGGGACCCTGGCTGTGGGAACCGTTTATCTTGGTTCTCCAAGAACAGAGCTGTTGCCCCTGTACCCAGTAGGACCCCCTCCCACACATTCCCAGGAGTCCGACTTCCTCCGCCTTGGTCTTTTAGCCCACTTCTTGCTCCTTCTTCCTATGGGTTTCCCTACCGCATCCTGACGGAGCAGTTCACTGCTCCTTGGCTTTCCGTCCTCAGCATATTCTCAGCCTGTGGGCAAGGATATCTGGTGAATTAGGGCTTTGATGCCTCAAAGTGACGACTATTTCCTCCTTTCAGGAGATTACCAGCCTTCACTCTGCAAGAAGGTTCCTTGCTGTGATTGAAGTTCTCTGAAAGCTCTATCATCAGTTTGCCTCTTCAAAGGATTGCACGTGTGTGCGCCAATCTGTGTGGGAGTGGCTGTGGTTAGGGTGATCCCATGCCAGGGACCCAAGTCTAAGATCATCCATTTCTGCAGCAGGTGCTCCCCAATGAAACCTCATCAGCAGATTTGGCACTCTTCCTTTCCTTCACCTCCTATACCAGGTGAGGGGGACAAGGCACTTGGAGGTGGGGAGAAACTTGTACAGGGAGGGCTCCCACCTCTGACCTGGGTTTGCTTCTTACCAGTCTTTGGGGAAGCTGTATGGAGGGACTGAGGCTTAGGAATGACCTTCTGCAGCTCCATCTTAGGGTCCTAGGTCCCTTCCTCCCTTTGCCCCCAGCTCCATTGATTCTGCCAAGAGCCTCAGGTCCCTTTTCCTGCCCCTCTCCTGGCTGGGCTATTCAGGTAAGGGTCAACAGCAGAGAGCCTGGAACTGGCAGTTGCCACCGGAGCTGTGGGCACGATCACTTCGACAGCAGTTGAATGCACAACTCCTCTTGGTCCTGGAAGAGAAGAAGGTAGGTGTTTCTCCTGATGAGGTAATATCAGATGCCCAAGAGTCTTGGCACTATGTATGTGGCCTTACCAGCAAAGGACAACACTGGGCTGGTCAGAAGAAACAGAGGCAATTCTCGAAGGCAGTGACGGATTCAGAGCAGCCTACGGTGCTGAAGCTCCTGCTAGCTGAGCTCCAAGGTCTCTTCTCAGCTGTGTTGCAGGACTGTAGCCCTGCAGCTTGGTGCTACCTGCATGGGGTACTGGAACTGCTGCCTCCATATCGTGAGTTGCTAGTTGGTCACCTTGATTTGTTACCCTTCTTGGAGCAGCTCTACTGCTGGGCACCCTGGGTGAAAGCCCAACTCCACCTGGACCTGTTAGATGCCATAACAAAGGCTTTTCCCCCAGACAGTTCTCTGTTAGATAGTGCCTCCCATGTTGACTGCCATCCCCAGAAGAAGATCCATCAAAGGCTTCCATGCTCAGCCTGTCCTTTTGTGCTGGCCCGATGGGGTGGGCAGCAAGTAAAGGAGCAATTGGCCACATGGCTGCGACCAGTGACACTGCCTGAGTTACAGCACTGTCTAGGTATTGTTGGTACTGAAGTGGCCCTAGAAGAGGCCAACTGGCTGGATGGTCTTAGTCTTCTGCCTTTGGCACTGGCAACAGACATTCCTGTACAGTATGAAACTTGTGATGCTGACATCTCAGAGGAAGAGCCTGATGGAAGAAGAGAGACTGAGTAAGTTAATCACCGCAGGGCTTTGGGCAGAGGAAGAAAAGAACTTAATTTATGGGTACCACTAAGTCCAGTCAATGTTATACTTTTTTTTTTCTTGATACTGAGGATTGAACCCCGGGGGTGGGGGGCTTAACCACTGAGCCATATCCTCAGCACTTAAACATTTTTTTTTTTAAATTTTTGAGACCAGGTCTCAGTAAGTTGCTCAGGGTCTTGCTAAATTGCTGAGGCTGGCCTTCAACTTGCAGTGCTCCCGCCTCAGCCTTCCACATCACTGGGATTACAGACATTTGTCACCACACCCATCTGGTCCACCTAATGTCTATAGTCAGCTTGTTATCAATTTTAAGGATTAGCCTGACCCCAAGCTAGTGTGAGGGTTCTTCCTTTTTCCTTTTTGATAGTAGAATAAACTCAGTGTCTCAATGTTAATCCTCACAGGGAAATGTAGAAATTAAAATCAGAAGTCTGCCATTTGGAAGCCAAAGGTTAAGAAAACAGTTTGACCTTTCAGTTTCCAGACTTTTATTTCTCAGATGGTGCCAGAAACATCCTTAGTTCTTGTTCTCATTCATTAATAATCACTGAGCCTTGCTTCTGGGCATACCTTGTGTTGGGTTCTAGACTGTAGGTTTAGGATCCTTAGGATACTCCTAGGGAGTGCTTGTGGGAGTGGCCTTCCCCACAGATCTGTGTGAGCTAAATGCACTACAAGGCAGAGGGTGGAAGGGAGGCCACTGGAGGGGATTTCATGCCAACTCTTCCAGAGTCTTCCTCCTGCCCTTCCAATCTGGATTTTCTAGCCCCTAGAATGATTTTTCCCACCAAAATCTGACTATGAGAGCTCTCTTTAGGATTTCAGAATATCTACAAAGACCTCTTCTGAGAGTTCTTTACTTAGTCTTGGAATTTCTCTCGGTCCTCTGGCTTAATTTTCTAGGTGTTTTGTAGCTTGTCTATGACACCTTCACTATCTAGGAAAAGGCTAGTTTTTACCTGTGTTTTTTTCTTCAAATGAGTTAATTTCTTTTTTAAAATAATTTATTTATTCTAATTAGGTATATATATAACAGCAGAATGCATTTTGAATCATTGTACACAATTGCAGCACAACTTTTCATTTCTCTGGTTTCACACAATGTAGCATTGCATCATATGTGCAGTTACACATGTACCTAGGGTAATGATGTCCATCTCATCTCACCATCTTTCCTGCTCCGATGCCTCTTCCCCCACTTTGGCTTGTCAATTTTTCTCCATTCCCCCCACCCATTATGGATTAGCATCCAGTTATCAGAGAGAACATTCAGCTTTTGGTTTGTTTGTTTTTAATTTTATTTATTTTAATTAGGTATATATGACAGAAGAATGCATTTTGATTCATTGTACACAATTGCAGCACAACTTTTCATTTCTCTGATTGCACATGATGTAGCATTGCACCACATGTGTAGTCATACGTGTACCTAGGGTAATAATATCCATCACATTCCACCATCTTTCCTGCCACCATACCCCCTCCTTTCCCCTCCCTCCCCTTTGCCCAATCAAAGTTTCTCTATTTTTTCCATGCCTTCCCCCATTATGGATCAGCATCCACTTATCAGAGAGAACATTCAGCCTTTGTTTTTTTGGGGATTGGCTTACTTCGCTTAGATGATATTCTCCAACTCCATCCATTTACCTGCAAATGCCATAATTTTATTCTCTTTTAATGCTGAGCAATATTCTACTGGGTATATGTACCAAAGTACATTATGTACCAAAGTTCATTATTATGTTCATATGTACCATTCATTTATTGAAGAGCATCTAGGTTGGTTCCACAGTTTAGCTACTGTGAATTGAGCTGCTATAGACATTGATGTGGCTGTGTTACTAAAATATGCTGTTTTAAGTCCTTTGGGTACAGACGGAGGAATGGGACAGCTGAGTCAAATGGTGGTTACATTCTAAGTTTTCTAAGGAATCTCCATACAACTTTCCAGATTAGTTGCACCTATTTTCAGTCTTAACGGCAATGTATGAGTGTGCCTTTTCCCCCCACATCCTCACTAACACTTATTGTTGTCTGTATTCTTGATAACTGCCATTCTTGATAACTGGCATGAGACGAAACCTTAGAGTAGTTTTGATTTGCATTTCTCTAATTACTAGAGATGCTGAACATTTTTTCATATATTTGTTGATTGATTGTATATCTTCTTCTGAGAAGTGTCTGTTCAGCTCTTTAACCCATTTATTGATTGGGATGTTTGCTTTTTGGTGTTAAGTTTTTTGAGTTCTTTATATATCATAGAGATTAGTGCTCTATCTGATGTGCATGTGGCAAAAATTTGCTCCCAAAATGCAGGCTTTTTCTTCACCTCATTGTTTCTTTTGCTGAGAAGAAGCTTTTAGTTTGAATCTATCCTATTTATTGATTCTTGATTTTATTTCTTGAGCTTTAGGAGTCTTGTTAAGGAAGTCGGGGCCTAATCTGACATGAAGGAAATTTGGGCCTACTTTTTCCTCTATTAGGTGCAGGTCTCTGGTCTAATTCCTAGGTCCTTGATCCACTTTGAGTTGAGTTTTGTGCATGGTGAGAGATAGGGGCTTAGTATCATTTTGCTGCATATGGCTTTCCATATTTCCCAATAACATTTGTTGAAGAGGCTATCTTTTCTCCAATGTATGTTTTTGATGCCTTTGTCTAGTATGAGATAACTGTATTTATGTGGGTTTTTCTCTGTGTCTTCTAATCTGTACCATTGGTCTACATGCCTCTTTTGGTGCCAATACTATGCCATTTTTGTTTCTATAGCCTTGTAGTATAGTTTAAGGTCTGGTATTATAATACCTCCTGCTTCACTCTTCTTGTTAAGGATTGTTTTAGCTATTCTGGGTCTCTTATTTTTCCAAATGATTTTCATGATTGCTTTTTATATTTATATAAAGAATGACATTGGGATTTTAATTGGAATCACATTGAATCTGTATAGTGCTTTGGGTAGTGTGGCCATTTTGACAATATTAATTTTGCCTATCCAAGAGCTTGGGAGATCTTACCATCTTCTAAGATGTTCTCCAATTTCTTTCTTTAGTGTTCTGTAGTTTTCATTATAGAGGTCTTTCACCTCTTTTGTTAAATTGATTCCCAAGTATTTTATTTATTTATTTGTGGCTAATGTGAATGGGGTAGTTTTCCTAGTTTCTCTTTCAGAGGATACACCACCAATGTATAAAAATGCATTTGATTTATCGATATTGATTTTATATCCTGTTAATTTGCTGAATTCATTTATTAATTCTAGAAATTTTCTGATGGAGTTTTTTTGGATCCTCTGAGTACAGAATCATGTCATCAGCAAATAATGTTAGTTGAGTTATTCTTTTCCTATTTTTATCCCTTTAATTACTTTCATCTGTCTAATTACTCTGGCTGGAGTTTTAAGGACTATGTGAATAGAAGTGTTGAAAGAGGGCATCCTTGTCTTGTTCCAGTTTTTAGAGGGAATGCTTCCAGTTTTTCTCCATTTAGAATAATGTTGGCCTTGGATTTAACAAGATAGCTTTTACAATGTTGAGGTATGTTCCTACTATACCTAGTTTTTCTAGTGTTTTGAACATGAAAGAGTGCTGTACTTTGTCAAATGCTTTCTCTGCATCAATTGATATAATCATATGATTCTTACTTCTAAGTTTATTGATGTGATGAATTGCATTTATTGATTTGCATATGTTGAACCATCCTTGCATCCCTGAAATGAACCCCACTCAATCATGGTGCACTGTTTTTTAAAATATGTTTTGTGGAACTGTGACCACGCACAGAGCAGGCCCAGCGGCCTGCTGAGGGGCAGAGCCGCCCCCCACCCCCCGCGCCTGCCAGGTAGGGGAACTGTGACCACGGACAGAAAAGGCCCAGTGGCCCGCGGCGGGACAGAGCTTCCAATCACTCCTGCAAGGTAGGCGGGCCTGCGACCCACTGGCAGAAGAGGAGCAGCGGCCTGCTGAGAGGCTGAGCCGCCCCCTCCCCCTGCGCCGGCAAAGTAGAGGGAACTGTGACCACGCACAGAGCAGGCCCAGCGGCCTGCTGAGGGGCAGAGCCGCCCCCCCACCCCCCGCGCCTGCCAGGTAGGTGGAACGGTGACCACCGACAGAAAAGGCCCAGTGGCCCGCGGCGGGACAGAGCTTCCAATCACTCCTGCAAGGTAGGCGGGCCTGAGACCCACCGGCAGAAGAGGAGCAGCGGCCTGCTGAGAGGCAGAACCGCCCCCTCCCCCTGCACCGGCAAGGTAGAGGGAACTGTGACCACGCACAGAGCAGGCCCAGCGGCCTGCTGAGGGGCAGAGCCGCCCCCCCACCCCCCGCGCCTCCCAGGGAGGTGGAACGGTGACCACCGACAGAAAAGGCCCAGTGGCCCGCGGCGGGACAGAGCTTCCAATCACTCCTGCAAGGTAGGCGGGCATGCGACCCACCGGCAGAAGAGGAGCAGCGGCCTGCTGAGAGGCAGAGCCGCCCCCTCCCCCTGCGCCGGCAAGGTAGAGGGAACTGTGACCACCCACAGAACAGGCCCAGCGGCCTGCTGAGGGGCAGAGCCGCCCCCCACCCCCCGCGCCTCTCAGGTAGGCGGAACTGTGACCACTGACAGAAAAGGCCCAGTGGCCCGCGGAGTGGCAGAGCTTCCAATCACTCCTGCAAGGTAGGCGGGCCTGCGACCCACCGGCAGAAGAGGAGCAGCGGCCTGCTGAGAGGCAGAGCCGCCCCCTCCCCCCCGCGCCTGCAAGGTAGACGGAACTGTGACCACCATCAAAACAGGCCAGACCTGCAATCGAGAGACAGAACAGGCCCAGTGGCCTGAGGAAGGGTAGAGCCGCCCCCCCCCCCGCGCCTGCAAGGTAGGCGGACCTGCGACCCACTGGCAGTACAGCCCCAGAGGCCTCCAGAGGGGCAGTGCCGCTGCCTGCGCCTGCAAAGTAGACAGAACTGTGACCACGGACAGAACAAGCCTAGCGGCC